TGGAAATGTTTTCAAGGTGTGTACTGTGGAATCTATGCGCTTCAGGGTGTCAGGTTATCGGAAACGCTATCCCAAATCCCCTCTGCGTTCGTCGATTAAACACGCGGTGAAAATGGAAACTCTGCGAACGGGAAAAAATTTCTTATCCTACCCAACAAATGATCTTGCATGCGCTTTCTCAACTCATTAGGTTGAAAGATAAGTCCTCCACCAAAATAAATACAAACTTTCATATTTCTTCTGTATTTCAGATAGAGCATAGCTAGCTCTGCAAGGTTTTGCTCAGAGGTTTGCCAACTTTGATCCACGCGAAGCCTGAAACCAAAAACTTCTAAAAAATCCATGCGCCTGTAAGATCGAAGAAAAACGAGAAAATGCAAATGAATTGAGAAAAATTCTGGAAAGCAAAAAAATTTTCAAAGTAACATCCATAATCTTCCAGCTTTTTACAGTTGGTTCACGAGAGAGACTGAAATTTTGCAATTTGGCATGAAAAATTTGAGCAAGGAGAGCTATTTCTCGTGTATTAACTCTCGAAGAAAGCTAACAATCCACGATTCCTAGGTCTTGTAATATACAACTGCTAGTATAAAACAGCTCAGCACTGATTTGACAAGTACACGGTAATTTTCATTTCGCTACTTCTACCGAGAGAACTCAACATCTGCATATATAAATGTTTGTTGTTGATTATATATGCGTGAGCAAGTAAGCATTTTCATAGATTTATCTTGAAAGTAATTGCAACTTTTCTCGGAATTTCCTCAATTTTGGCTAAGATAAGTCAGAACTTATTTAGGTTAAGAAGAAGTATGAATTATTAGTACGTGATTTTGGTGTAAGGCTTATGTTCTATATAATAACAAGTTGAGAAAGCGCATGCAAGATCAATTTTTTGGTGAAATAACGAGATCTTTCTCGTTCAATGCGTTTCCTGTTTCACCGAGTGTTTAACTGACGAACGCTGGCGGAACCCACGATTGGTTGGCCCCAATTGCCGTCAAGGCAAAAAAAATTCGTATGTGACTGACTTCAATAATAATACATATTCTAAATACATAATGCTTACACATTTTCGAGTTGAGTATAGTCACTACTTGTTCAGAATGCGCGAAATAATTGGATGCGAACCTTTGCGGACAGTGAAAAGATGGCAAGTTTTAGGATTTCCTCTTGCTAATGTGAAAAGTTTGTGCCGATCGAGCTTTTCTATGAAGCTTTTGATAAAATGGTAGTACAGAAATTTTGACATACCAATATATAGTACATAGGTGATAAATAATCTTGATTGTGACAACATGTAAATTAATGAAAATTCTTATGACTTTGATTTTATTGGGAAACGTAATTCGGAGAAAATACAGTGTCAACCTTACCTGAGCAGTAGCGATGCAATTTCTTTTCAGCAAAGTTTCGAATGCAAAAAGAAACAAACAAATTTAGGTGTACACTACGCCCTTTCTTTGAAAATGTCTTAAAGTTATGTTCGATTCGATGAGCTTCTCGGTGACAGATTGTACGCATACGGCATACCACTCATGTGTAAGAGTAAATTTGTAGATTTTGGAAGAAAGGAAGCCAACTCTCAATTTTCCATATCAATTCAACCCAGCGGGGAATACAAAAACAAAAACATTTTCGATTTGTCGATGAGCTTCCTTACTTTTGTCCGATTTGCACCCAATAATTTGGCCATCCTGAAAAAGTGGTGACTATACCCAACTCAAAAATGTGTAAGCATTATATATCCAAAAACTTTTCTTTCTTGCATGCGCCCTGCTTATTCAGGGTCTGCTTATCCATTCCATATCAAAAAGATCCAAGAAATCATACTCTATCAATAAAATCAGTCATATGGGAAAAATTTTAGCTTCAAAAGCTCACCATCGCAGGTTTCCTCTGCATTCATCTATTAAACACGGAGTGAAACCGGAAACTCTGTGAACGGGAAAGACTTCTTATCCCACCGAAAAAATGATCTTGCATGCGCATTCTCAACTTATCATTAGGTTAGAACATAAGTCTTCCACCAAAATAAGTATAAACTTTCATATTTCTTCTGTATCCCAGATAGAGCATAGCTAGCCTTCCAAATTTTGCTCAGAGGTTTGCCAACTTTGATCCACGCGAAGTCTGATTCCGAAAACTGTTAAAAAATATATACGCCTATAAGAAAATTGCAATTTCGTTTGAAAAAAAAACTTCTGGAAAGCAAAAAAACTTTTAAAACAATATCCATAATATTTTAGCTTTTTAGAGCTGGTTCACGTGGAATAATGAATTCTTGGCAAACCGGCATGGAAAATTCGGATGAGAAAAGCTATGTTCTTTATTTCTATTTTCTAACTCCAAAAAAGCGCTAAAAATGAATGGTGAAAAGATTTGTAATATAAGGCTAATGCAAGAAGAGCTCAGCACTAATTGACAAATGCAAGGTAATTTTGTTTTTTCTACTTCTAACCGAGAAAAGAATACGACAAGTGCATAATTTCTGGTGGAGCATATTGAGCGAGTGAATATTCTGGTAAATGTTTGGTCGAAGTCGCCATTTTTTGAATTTTCCTCTTTTGGGAGCATGAAATTCTTCAGTTTTTCAAGAGTGGATCAAAGTAATGCTAACCCTTGGCTTAAACAAAACTATGCACAACTAGCTTTGATCTACGATGCATACCGGAGCCTATTTGAAATATAGCAGAGACATAAATTATTACTTAGTACTTATTTTGGTGGAACACAGAATGTTCCGACCTATCAATAAGTTGAGAAAGCGCATGCAGGATCAATTTTTCGGTGGGGCCTTTCCTCTTCGTGGTGTTTCCTGTTTCAACGCGTGTTTAAGAGACGAATGCAAAGAGGATTTACGCTCATCCCAGTCAGCAGTTGTTTAGAATGCGGCAAATGAGGTGTAAATCTTCGCGAACAATCGTAAAATGGCTAAACGAAGCGACTATGCTTTTTTGTTTTTCTTGCTATGTTGAATTTTTGAAAAGTCTAGGATTTGCCTGCCTTTCTCCCAAAAGTTTACCAATTTACTCTTACACCTGCTAAGTATTATGCTGCACGTGTTTAATTAAAAATAATTTTTATGGTCTTTCAAACACTTTATTCCAAAAAATACCTTCAAATTCGTGTGGCTTGACAGAGATTTAAGTAAATTTCAATGTGATTGCCGCTTATGCACTCAAATAAATAATTGCAAGATTCCATCTTCTGAAAGAGCAATTTATCCTGCGTGATGGTACCAGTTACATTTTACAATAACAGCGCATGGTTTACAGTTTTTCGGTTCATTCAGGAAGAGCAGGAAAAGGTGGAAAAGTTGGCTTTACTTTTTCTAATCGCACTAACGCATGTGTCATACATCATTTAATTTTCAGAGTCAAAGTGACTATAGTCATAATTTAGGAATCTACTGATTTTAAGGAAAACTCGGAGAGATGCGACAGGTGCAGAGAACAAAGAATACATTCCAACTTCGGAAGACAGAAAATTTGCAGAAAGATGATGTACATATGCTGCCCATTGTGGCAACATAAGAATTACCCTAATCTCACGCATATAAGGCGCACTTTTTCGAATTTTCAAGCAAGCCGCTTTACTTTATTCCGAGAGAAATCCTTACATTGCACGATTCTCTCAAGCAATATACAGCACATTATAGGGTCCTTTGGTTGTAAAGTTCTTTGGCTTGTCTCAGCTGGTCGATTTTGGAAGAGAATCCCCCGCGTCTTATACGCGTGTGATTAGGGTACATAGTGTAGTTAATGAAATTCATCATTAGGGCAAAACTGAGGAATACAGGAAAGCCAGAAAGACTTCGAGGAGGATTTTGAGCCATTGAAAATGGCTTTTGCCTTAGAACGAAGACCAAACAAGCTAGAAACTCTTTACGTCGCTGATTTTAGAAATAAAAAGAGCATTTCAGTATAGGGCCTCTTGATGATTTAAGTCAGATTTAAGGTAACAACTATTTCTCCAATGTTTGCACGAAAGAATGAGAGTTATCCACGGTCAAACAGTGTGCACATCTTTTTGAGACACTTTCTATAACGTAAATTTCATAAAAATCAAAGGCTCCTTTACATCTAACTAACTATGCTGTACTAGCTCTCCTATCTCTTTTTGAATTTTCAATTTCACTCACTACCGCTGCTTATAAATAGATTTGAAAATTATTTATTAAAGTGCATACTATACTCCAAGAAATCTTGTAGAAATTTTTAGCAAAGTAAGTAAATTTGAAGATTATTTATTGAAGCGCATTGAAATCCAAGAATTCTTGTAGAACATTCGCTGACCTTTTGAGCAAATAAGTAGTGTTTGAGGTCAAAGACTGCATTCGTACACCGTAAGCTCCAGAAGTTTCGACGTTTTCGTAGAGTGCTCCAAGGAAGCCGAGCAAATCACGACTAGTACACTCTTTAATTTCCTATTGCTAGAGATGAAATGCTTTTCCTATGCGGTTATCTCACATCCTTGATACTTCATGACAAATTTTTTATTTCTATGCCAAACATATTCACAATAAGTTAAAAATGCCAAGATAATCGTTGGAGATACGCGTTAGGTATAAATCAACACAATCGAGATATGGACACATGGGAGATCAATGGGTTTGAAGATACATGCACTTCAAGAATTTACAATGCATTTCGGGATGTATTTCAATTCTAACGATGAATGAACACTGAATAGTTGGAATTAACAAGATATGCAAAAATTTTGAAGTTGTCGTGCAACATTCCACTCATTTCATATGATCACTTGTAACAGTAATCTTTGATTTGACTGGATTGGCTGCTGGAAGGCGGGGCTTTGCGACTTCATCATGGCCGCTCACCCCCGCGACGCAGTCTGCATCTCTCTCGTGCTCGTGCTCTCTGCTCATTCTCCAGCCTTAACTAGGTCGCAAAGCTCCGCCTTCAAACCGCCAATTCGGTTGAATCAAGGGATATACGAAATGTTCGCCTTTGCCGTTCTTATCTTAAATTTACACTCAAAGAGAAAGATGAATAATTCAAATAGCAAAAATGGTGCTTTTTTTCGCCCATGATTTTAGAGTGAACAAGGAACATTGAGGAAACAAAAGAAGAGTAACTACAACAAAATTCAGGATAGAGACGGCATAGACGGACATTGCGTACAACGACGCATACTACCATATTAAATGGTCGGACTGTAGAAGTTATGTACAAAGGATGAATCGAGGAGATAGGCAACAAATCGAGAACAGACTCGGTCATTCGCTTTTCATCGGCTTCAACGATGACGGTGGTCTCCGCTCAGCCGAGGATTCTCGAATCTCACTGTTTGACATCGAAATCGAGTAGTCTTCGATGACGCGTAAGACCTGCCTATACACACCGCCTGAAAAATTCTTCGACTATCAGCAGTTCCAAGGGCGGGGGACTTAGTGCTGTCGGAAGGAGGTGGTCCCTCACGGGCATCTGCAACAAACTACGCAGCCATGCATTTTACGGACATTGCAGATTTGTACTAGCTGTCCGCGCGGGGAGGAGCCTATCGGCGATTCAATCCCCTACCTAGTTCCCAATTCGACCTTCCCTCAGCGGGATGAATTTTGAAGATTTTGAGTATTACACAATCTCTGTATTGGCCTAAATTTGGGATCTTTGAGCGGTCGCAGAAATTTGTCTGGTTTTGGAGAGGCGAGATATTTCCCGGAATTGAGGACATTGTGAGCAGCTCCAAAATTTCTTAGTTCATAAACGAGAAATACATGAATCAAAAACATTCCACGATAGTAAATCAGAACAAGTTAACTGTCTAAACTATTCAAATTCACTCCAACACGAATTCGAACGATTGCATGTACAGGTAGTGTAGCTAGTTAATTGCCAATGTTTGTCAATGAAAATGTGTTTGTATTTGACTGTTACGCTTACCATTTCACTATTTTTCCGGTAGTTGTTTCCCGAGTCAAGAGTACGCTTGATACTGTATTCGCTAAAACCTTTTTTCTTCTATATTTCGTGTCAAGGGCAGAAAGTTCGCAAAAATCAGTTTGATGCATAATTCTAGCACAAAAATTTTTGTAATTCTGTTACTTTCTCGGCTTCGAAAGAACTTTCTGATTTGATTTAAAAAAAGATGCTCTTTCTGCCCCTGCTTGCATCAATTCTCGTCACTTAAAGCAACGATAAAGCTAATTAAAACAAATGCCCAAAAGTGGTTCTTGGTAGCTATAATGGCCAAACGTCTACTGCGATTCATAACAATTTTTATTCTAAATTTTACGACATAGCCTTTATGGCAAAATAAATTGGTAGTGATTGAGTGTCTCTATGGATAGTTATGAATTCCTACCTCTCAAAATGTTTTTGTATGATTGATTTTTTGAAATGTACCATAAAATTCTATCGAGCATATTATGTAAATTAATTAGTTTGTTTAAGTATTATGTAGTATGTTTGTTTAAGTATTTCTAAGAAAATTTTTGCTCTTTCTTGGCGCAAGAATTGTGCATCAACCTGATAAGTGATGAATCTCAAGCGAGACATTTATAAACCTTATGATTGAGAGTAAAGCGCAAAATTACATTTTCTACATTTGACTTGCTCCACTTGTAAGAAACTCAAAATAGAGCGGATGCACATGGCTTGTTCGTTCTTTACATTACAGTGGGCATGAAAAATCAAAATTTATTCCGCGACTAAATTCATATGTGCCAATGAGCTGCCTTCCAACTTGGAACAAATGGATTCAGAAGGTTTTGTCATGAGACATCAAAGTGCAAGAATTGGTTCTGGCAATCTCAATGTAAGGTTGACGCGAAAAAATGTCCGTAGCTCATGCTACCAAGGAATTTAAATACAGAAAAATACTTATAAGATACCGTTCAATACGGATCTGCTAAATCTTGTTCCACGTAAAATTTGGGGCCGAAATCTGTGAGCATTTGACTACGCAAGAAATCGGATCTTCGCTCCGAATGTTTCTACGAGCTTCCCAGTTGGTCATCACATAGGTGTATAAAGTAACATTCATTTATGCACTTGCTGTAATTTTCTAGTGCTTAGAATCTCAGCGAAAAACGATAAACGAAGTGGCAAATTTTCCCTAGAAATGCAAATTCCCTCCAATTTAGATATCATATATCACAAGCCGTTCGGAGCACGACTGCGAAGTTACAGACTATATGAGTTTTAATTTTTGTAGAAAATCAATTTTATCATTACAAATCTGTGAGCTACGGACATTATTTTTGCATCAACCCAATACTTTGTCACTTATTCAGGCGACTTCCTAGTAAAAATAAAGTTTAGAGCGCCAAATCAAACTACTGCGCTCTAACGCTTCTTCTGAGGTTATAAGTGTAGAAAGAAGAAAGCCTGAATAACTGACTTCGTAGTCTCTAGCCTTCATTCTTATCAGTAAAACATGGTCTTCCTTTCATTTTGACTGTAAAATAACTTTGAGAATGAAGACCGTATCCAGTCACCTTGGCCGTCGACAAAAGTGTGATAGATGAGATTTCCTACGATTGCCACGATACGAAGAACGCAGGGCGCCATATGACGATGACCAGACAAAAGACAAACTGAAACTATCCGAGTAAATTCTTCAAATGAGATGTTTATCAAGTAGTTTTACCTGAAAGCTGAAGTGCATGAAGTAATGCTGTAACTAATAATAATGTAGCAATTTCCGCTCTGTTTTCTCGCTGCAGAAGGATACTCCTGAACGGATACAGTTGAACGTGGCTAGAAGTGTAAAGGTGGTTTTAATGGACCGTTAGTTGAAATTTGTTTGAGATGCAAAGAAAGTTTGCATACTGTTAATCAGTAAAACCACCCACCTAAATAATATCCCGAACGCAAGCAAGCAAGCACCATAGATTCTGATCATAAATGCGCTCTCTTCCGACCTCACTTCAAGACCATAGTCCAAACGAATCGCAATAGTTGGTACGGCGATACACTGTAAAAAACTCTACTAATCTCAAACTAATATATGGACTGTGAAATAATTCAAAAAAAACTATCCTTTACTAAATATAGAAAGATGACTGATTAAAGTTGGCAAGAAAGTTTTCGGACATTGGTGGAATTACGCGATAAGAAGTAGAATTTTAAATCGTTTATTGAAGAAAAGCAATTTGAATGTTCAGGAATGAAAATCGCACACTTTTATTCTGATACTTTCAATTTTTACGTCACATTACCCAGCGACGAAATTTCCAGCGCACACAATTTTTGTCATATCTGAATTGGATCCAAGATTGCTCAGCAAGCCTTATATGGGTAGTCACATAGTTGCGATTGACAAACTCGAAAAATAATAATAAATTAAAAAACCAATTTTCCGTTGCGCGAACAATAGTTCTCTCCGTTCACGGTGTTTCCCGTTTCACCGAGTGTTTGTAATCAAACGCAGCGAGTGTACTACGATGTGTTGTTTGTTCACTCTATACCAAAACTTGTTCAGAAGTGTGAAATGAACGTTATGAAAATAATTAGTTTGGAATAGCTAAAAAATGAAGTGGAAACTTTGCGATTGTCTGGGCTCGTTGAATTTGAACATAGCTAAAAAGAGGAAGGATATTGAAGGACGAAATTCTGTGTTGAATATTTATGCTTTTTTATCTTCACTCTATAAGATTCGCGGAGGTTAAAAGAATGGCACGAGTCTTGGGCCAAAATATCACGTTTACCGATTGCAGTAGTGTTAAAATCAATTGGTAGTTCACTTGGACTTTGAAGACTACAGCAAACTGGTTAGATGACCCGTAAATTTTCACAGTGACAAATAGTTGCTTATGTACTTCTAATTTTTGAAGTAATCATTCGATAGAGCAAAACAAGCACTATTGGCTTTCAAATTTGCAAAAAAGTCCATTTGAACCTGGAGCCAAAGTACAAAATTCCCAGTTGCCCAGAAAGTTGGGCCTCCACCCAGAAAAATCCTACGGACCTCTAGTTTGCTCGCAAGTATGTTCTTCACATCATACATTGATATTCGCAATTGCTGCATTTTTATTATGGTTATTGAGGAACAAAATAGGTAAATAACGAAAAACCCGAAAAATGACAGGTTTTCTGGATATTGCATGCTAAATTCATATTTTTCGAGAATTAGATCTTCCAAAAGTTTTTAAAGCAGAGCTGTTTTCTTGAACGCTAAGCTATGAAAATAAAGCAATTTTATTGACCCGATGCTGAGCATAAGCACTTGGAATTTTATAACAGGACTTTTTAGGACTAACATGCAATATTTTTCGATACATTTGCAAAATTAGGGTTTTGGATCCAAACTCTGTGCGGATAAAAGTGAATCTTCGGGAAAGTTTACAAAAAAGTGAGAAGCACGCAATCACGTATGGTACAAAGTGCGATAACTATCAGTTGTATCTTAAAAGCCATATGAAGAGGACAGGAACTCTAAAAAAGCTAATAGAGAATTTTATATGCAGGTGAAGCCCTTTAAAAGAAAATGCATAAAATCTACAAAGTAAAGCGATGTGAAATCAATGTGAAGGTTTTAGAGATGTAACAGGCACCATCCACCCAAATTTTGGACTGCTATTTTGGTCGTTCCGGGGCTTCTTGGGCTCCTGATTCCAAATATGAAGTCGAAAATATGTGAAAACCCCAACAATCCCGTTCCGGAAAAGCCACAGGTTGGTCGGAACGGTGATTGGATGGACGGATGGGCGGGCATTACAAGAGGGAGGCGGTGCCGACTGCGGTCCTCATGCCTCTTCGTTATCTCGAAGCGATTTTCTCGCTTCCGAAGCGACATTTTGAGCCGCCATTCGGGCATTGGCTTGATGGGGGGTCTCACCATGGTGAGCTACCAAAAGCTCAAGACCCCTATAAGGTGGAAGGTGCCTTCAATCTCTTCATCTCATTACTGAGAAAACACCTATACAGATTCCTTGAGATATTGTTATCACAGCTAATGATGACAAGCATTGAACATAAGCGCCTTTAGATTAAGAACGAAGAGATGATGAAACTCACCAGAAATCCAATAAGATAAAAATACAGTGTAGTCAACGAGTTCCAGTAAAGTAAACCCCGTGGTAGCCGTACGTAGAGACTCTCATTAATCCCCAGTAATTGTGAGATCTGTAACCATAAAAACTATTGACTCTTTGCTCATGTCGGTCGTAATTCGACAGTTTTCAGTTGTGGGATTTGACGTGATTGGCTTACGGAAGTATACTACTTGATATTTTAAATTTCTCAGCTTTGACCTTTTTTTACAGAAAATTGGGTAGTTTCTTTACGTTATTATACAACTCATCGCAAGGCTAACAAAGCCTAGGTAGATATTAGGTTGGTGCAATAGTTCGTCGTTTTCAATATTATTCGAAAATCTCCAAAAGTTACAATGGACGGCAAAGGTACTCTTAAAAAGTTAATATTCTCTCTATCTGATAAATTCAAGTTTTGGAAATTCGTTGGGAGAACAAGTATGATTTTTCTGGTGCGTCCAAACTTTTGCACTAACCTATATGCAATTATGACGACCTTTTGCTTTTAGGTTATTGGGTCACAAACAAGGTGTTTGGCTTTAATTTAAGTTTTTTAACTTCTCAGAAGCTACCATTTCAGTTAATTTTTTTGCCTTTTGTTTTTAGGTCATTTACGGTTTTATTAGTTTCATATTTAAGTATTTTACACAGTCTAACGAAGCAATACGCCATAGAACTGACGAAGTTTGTCTACCCTAAATTCAAACCCAGGTTTTCTTTATATAACCAATCTTCCAGTTGTTTCTTATATTGAGCTCAGCTATAAGCTCCACTAAGCGATAAATTATCCACACGTTCTAAAAATAGATTGATACTTTCTCGTACTTTGGAGTTCTGAATGACCATTTCATAGCTTGAGCAGCTGAGAAGAAAGTAAATTCTAGTTCGATAAGACTGGCATAGTTATAGTTCTGCGGGTAATCTCAATTACTTGTAATTTACCGGAATTTAACGTATGTTTAAGAAAACATAACAACAAAGGATCAAGTATACAACTGATACTTGCAACTCGTACGTAAGTAAAAGTAATTTCATAAAGAAAATTTCCCACCTTAGACCTGTAGATATCGCCATTGTCTCTGGCCAATTCACCAACTCCCAACAGCTTCCTGGTTTTGAGCCGACTTTGTAGATCACTGGCCGATTGTTTCCTACTAACCACACTCTGGTCATCAATCATGTTCCAAATTTAGATAACTAAATAATTTTTAAATTTGATTCCATTCTAACGAGGTCTACGACTGCCAAACAAGATGGGGTTGCGGCAATGTCAAGCTCTAGAATACGAATCACCATACGCAAATGTCGGCAAGAAATGTCAAAGAGAAGCCGATCGGGCACTCGAGACATAGAGGACCTTTTTGAAGAAAAGAAGACTGGCAATGTTCAGACTTTAGACCATTTGTGATGCCAGTAGGCTCACAAAGGTCTTTGTGCTTTGCGGCTGCTGCAAAATGAACTCAAAAAGCCACACGGACTGAATAGTTTGTACTCTACTCAATAGATGTAACTGTTAATGGAAAAATTTTCTGCAGCTGCATACCAAAACAACATACCAGTGTAAAGTCAGAATAAAACTTTCCAAGAAGTTCGGGAAAATTTGCATAAAAAATTCATAAAACCAGATTCATGTAATATCAAAAATATTAGGTCGTTCCGAAAGTTCTTTCCGTTTTTTCAACCTATCATAAAACATGGAGGAATGAAGGTAGGGAAACGCTTCAAACACTATCCGACGCAGCTTTTCTTCCTCTTTTTAACAGTCATATTCATGTGCCGCTTGCTCTTGTGATCAGTGAGATAATGTCTGAAATTTCGAACCCATGGTTTTCACGATACCCAACTTTGGCAATTTTTCACGATCTTCTTTTTTGACTTTTGGAGAAGATTTGATAGGAGTCAGATAGAGCAAACAAAGTGCGATTTAATGCAATTTTTCGGCGCCCATAGCTAGTCTTGAAAATTGTTTAGAAATGTTTTTCTGATGCCATCAAATTCCACTTTTGGTGATGCCAAGAATCATAGAACATAAAACAGCGCACAACTAAGGTGTCATTCGATGCAGCTTTTTCTCCTCTTTCTATTGAGTATTTTTCTTGCCAATTTGTGGGAGTTTTTGACGATAAAATTTCCATAATTCTTGATTTTGAACCCGCCTAGGGGTGTACACGCGAAAAGCGAAATCTTATATTTCGAAGCGGTGAACACTGAGTTACTTTGTAAAAATAGTGGACAATCATAAACGACTTTTGAAAGTGTGGGAATCCGAAGATTTGTTAATGTTCGGAGCGTTTTTGTTTTTTGTGATTTCGAAAAAATGAAGACTTGTGGAAAAATTATCTCAAAAAATACTAAGAAGCCAGTCAAAGTTGCACAAAATTCCATTAGATTGCACTTTGTTTACTCTATCTGAATGCTATTGAAGCTTTTCCAAAAGTCAAAAAAGAAGGATGTGAAAAATTGCCAAATTTGGACACCATGAAAACCATGGGTTCGAAATTTCAGACATTATCTCACTGATCACAAGAGCAAGCGGCACATGAATATGACTGTTAAAAAGAGGAAGAAAAGCTGCGTCGGATAGTGCCTGAAGCGTTCTCCTACCTTCATCCCTCCGTGTTTTATGATAGCTTGAAAAAACGGAAAGAACTTTCGGAACGACCTAATATATTGAGTCGTCCGGAAAATTCGTTCGCATCATTTTCAAAAATTCATAGCTTCTAATTTGTCCAACCGATTCAACTGCTTTTACTTTTGTTTGGAAGAGCAAATCATGCCCTTCATAATGATATCTTAGCTAATTGCCAGTGTTCGTTTGTTATATACATAGATAGGAGCGGTAGAAGAAAATTACACAAATTTTAAATTTTTTGTGTAGGGTCATAAAAAATCGGAAACTTGCAACAAAAATCAAAGCAGTCGTTATTAGGTTCTATCACCTGCATTTTCTAACTTTGCAAAGTTTGTGCTGATTGAATATCTCTATGAAAAGTTATGATTTTCGAGCAGGCAATACAAGAGGGCAATTTTTAATTTTGGCATTTTTCTAGAAAATCATAACTTTTCACAGAGATATTCAATCAGCACAAACTTTGCACAGTCAGAAAGAGCAGGTAACAGAACCTACAATACCGACGGCTTTGATTTTTGTTGCAACTTTCCGATTTTGTATGACCCTACACAGGAAATCCAAAATATGAGCAGTTTTTTCTACCGCTCCTATTTAAGCAGCCAAGACATCATTATGAAGAGCATGATTTGCTCTTCCAAATAAATGTAAAAGCAGTTGAATTGGTTGGACAAATCAGAAGTTATAAATTTTTGAAAATGGTGTGAACGCATATTATATATGCTGTGTTCAACATATAACAGAGATTTTACTTTGAGCAAATTTGAAGAATCCGAAATTAAGTCGAAAATTATAACTAATACTACAGATATCCGATAAGCAGGAATATAGTTGGAGTAGATGCAAAATCGAATATTATACTCATTTTATTGGATTCTATTAGCATTTTTAGTAGGACCATTTTTAGCATCCTTGAGTCCAGTATAGTTGGGTATTGGTAGTTGTTAGTTGTATTAGTTAATCCTCTTTATCAGCCTACAAGCCGCCGTTTACCAACAATGTATTTTGTTTTGGGCTTACTAAAAACAATACACTGGACGAATTTTTTGAAACTAAAGAAGGTTAACGCTTAGCCTAATTCATATTGTACAAATAAAACACAACAGACAATCTTATGCTTTCAAAACTACCGAAGAAACAGATGGAGCGAAATCGTGTTCGAAACATAGGAAATTTGTTTACTGCACCAAACCAGGTTCTTGCTCTCGTATGTACACTTATTCAGATAACAGCACACAGATCACATTCTCATGATATCGTATAGATGAGTTGAAAAAAATCGAGTGAAGAAAGTGATTGTAACGCTAGAGTGAGCAAATAGTTATGCTGTAGATTTACGATATTCCCCTACATATATTTAGCAAAGCGATTTACTAGCCTATCCCAAACCTTGACGTTGAAAATTTCATATCAGCATTGCAAATTTCTTTTTACATCAATGAAAGGGTAAATTGAAGAAGCTGTGCCACACAGAAACTACAAAATATTAAATCGCAACTGATTTAGAACCAATAAGCTTTATGGAAGCGCTGATGTGCACGTTACATTTTTTCCAAATAAAACATGACTCGACCGTCACAATGAAATAAAATCGATCAGAAAAATATGAAGGATGAGGTTGTATTAGGTTGGTGCAAGAGTTCTTGTGCACGATTTTCAAAAATTCATAACTTCCGATTTTTCAATCAATTTGGCCGCTTTTATTTTTGTATGAAAGAGTAACTCATGCTCTTCATAATGGCATCTTAGCTGCTTGCTAATGATCATCTGTTTCATAGATACGAGCGATAGAAGAAAATTGGTCAAAATCTGAATTTTCTGTGTAGGGTCATAAAAAATCGGAAACTTGCAAGAAAAGTCGGAGCAGTCAGTATTATAGGTCCTTTTACCAGCTCTTTCTAATGGTGCAAAGTTTGCGTCGATTGAGCGTCTCTATCAAAAGTTATGATTTTCGAGCAAGCAATACAAAAGGGCGATTTTGATCTATTTTGGCATTTTTCAGGAAAATCATAACTTTTCATAGAGACGCTCAATCAGAGCAAACTTTGCACCGTTGAAAAGAGCTGGTAAAAGGACCTACAATACTGACTGCTCCGATTTTTCTTGCAGGTTTCCGATTCTTTATGACCCTACACAGAAAATTCAAATTTTGACCAATTTTCTTCTATCGCTCGTATCTATGAAACAGATGATCTTAGCAAGCAGCTAAGATGCTATTATGAAGAGCATGAGTTACTCTTTCATACAAAAATAAAAGCGGCCAAATTGGTTACAAAAATCGGAAGTTATGAATTTTTGAAAATCGTGCACAAGAACTTTTGCACCAACCTAATATAATCCAAGAATGAGATCCCAAAAAGTGCTCAGAAGAAAAGAAAAAACAAGTAATAAAGAAGGCAGAAAGGAAAAAGACAGCGGCAACTGAACATCAATAAATATAACTTAACAATTTCCTAGCATCCACGATATAAGTAAACTAACATTATTTCTTCGACAGCAAAGGTAAACAGCCGATGAACAGATGGGGTAAGTACTAAGTCTGTTTTAATTCACACATACAGCCGCTCTAAATGAGTAGCACAAAGGTTTCAATAAGGCTGTAATTAGCTCTAATTACTCTCTCATTGCACAAAGTACTTGTTGCGACATACACTCGTATATGCAAGAGATTCAAAAGAGTTTAAAGGGCTTTTGAGGGAGAAAAGTAAGGTTTTGGAAACAATTGTTGTAGATCGTAACTGGATCAATTTTCCAATTAAGAAAACGGAAATGAAAGAAATCAGATACGCAAACAGCAGATATCCCATTTCATAACCGGTACCAAATACAATTTAAGCAAAGTTTATTTAGATAATGCTCCTCATTAACAGTAATATAGTCAACTCACTGGTATTAGATGTTCAGAATTATGGCTAAACATCACCAAAACACTTCGCTGACTGACTATTTTAGACTAAAAGGCAAAAATGCCATTTTTCAACAGTTAAAAGGATGGCAATTACATATATCTAGCACAAAAAATTCTTAAATTCTTAAAATTCTCAGAAATAAGCGTAAATCTGATTTTCCAATTTTATCTCAAACTTTCAAGAAAGCAACAAAGCCTGTGACGAGGTAATCATCACATGAGATGTGTACCATAGCAATACGAGACGGATGAGGTAGCAATACGCTTTCGCTTGAATGCAGACTTTTGCATTCTCGTAAACAAAATAAAATGAGAAAAAAATCAAAGCAACATTGCTTCTAGTATTCCTTCCTCAGAATACAAATGATCATTCAAGGATCCGACGTGCACGGTTTGCAAATGATATGTAAAATGTGCGTATGTGGGAAAGTCGGTCGGCCGAGTCGGGCACAAATGAACGCTAATTAGATCGAAGTTAAGCCATTCACATTCATTAATATATTTCTGTTGCCATAGGACTATAATGAAATGAATCGTAGAATATTCTTTGATAGAAGTGAAGAGGAATAACTTACTTTGAAGAAGAACAAATTGAACATTAATCAAAGGAAATACGA